TAGGGACAATTTAGAGTTACCAATCAGCCTAACATGCATGTTTTTGGACTGTGGGAGGAAACCGGAGTACCCGGAGAAAACCCACGCATGCACGGAGAGAACATGCAAACTCCACCCAGAAAGGCCCCTGGACCGGGGTTTGAACCAAGGACCTGCTCGCTGAGAGGCAGCAGCTCTACCAGTTGCGCCACCGTGCTGCCTGAAAAATTATCATTTTATTTAAATATCATGTGTGGACAAGTTTTATTTTTATTGTAAATTATATTATGAGCCCTTTCTATTTATTTTAAGAGCTTGTTTGAGGACAAAAGTTCTCGTTGTCCTTTGTGCACCAGAAGAGAGAGCCTCCTGCTGTTCAGTTATTTCAGTAGAATTTTACACAACTCTATACTTTAGATTTTAACAGAGTATCTGCACTTTTACATAAGCATATTTTAGTACTTTTTCTACCTTATGCCTTTTCAACATTACACCAGGATCATTTAAAAATCTATAGTTTAATCAAAGTTGTGATAATTTCTGATACTTGGATTTTATGGATGCGAAAGTCTTTGTGGGAGTGTATGTATTAGTTAGTTAGTATTATATTTACAATTTTTAGTATGTTAGCTGAATGTGTGAGGATGGGGAGGTATTGAGGAGGTGCTATGATATTTATGTAAATGTATGGGTTGCAAAGTTATTTTAGAATTTGTAGAGGAAAATGTTTTGTATTTTTATTGTATTTAGATTTTTAAATTGTTTGTATTTTAATGTATAGTTTTTATTATATGAAATTGAAGGTTGTTAGGTTGATTACATGAATATGTAGGCAGGAGTACGTAGGTACTCAAGCAGCAGACATTTATTTTCTGTAAAATATCATAAAGTCTAAATATCCATCTTGGATTTTTCATTTGGGATCATTTGTATTTGAACCCTGCTGAAAGCAGCACAGTTTAATGAAAACAGCTAAAAACCTCCTGGAACATTCTGCTGCTTTCATGTTGCGTAATATTTAATCAGTTTTAACCTGTCGCCACTTTATTAATTACGTTCTTCTATAATTGAATTCCACAGATCAGCCAAACAAATAAACCCCTGACAGGTAACACCACAAAACTCTGGATTTCTGGATCTTTATTCCAGTGATCCCACACCCTGATCGTTGTAATAAAAACACAGTTATGCATTTGTGTGAACGCTGATCTGTGATTAAACATTCAGTTCATTCAGAATATAACTTAGTTTTATTATTTTCAAAATGTTTAAATGTATCTACAGAAATTTCCCCCTTATAAATACAGATGTGATTTCTTCAAAAACTGCACTTTGAAATGTGACAGAAAACTTTTTGTTTCCTTATATTCCTATATTTAACCTTTTTGGTCACTTTAACTTCAGCTGTTTAAGGATCTGCTAGCTTTTAATAAGTTATGCTACTCTGAGCTTCTAGCTAGCCTTTTGATGATCTACATTTCTTGTGGTTCCCAACTGTGGTCCTTGAGGAACACCATCCTATATGTTTTATTTGTTTCTCTGCTTTGACACATCTGATTTGAATGAATGGGGGATGAACAGGCTTCTGCAGAACTTGAAACAATTAAATCACTGAATCAGATGTGTTGGAGCAGGAAACAACTGAAACATGCAGGATGGTGTTCCTCATGGACCACAGTTGGGAACCACTGGGTTAGTCATACTAGAGCTAACATTTAGCTGCTTTTAGCTAGCCCCTTGCTACTTTTTTCGTTTTTCGTTTTTGATACTTTTGGCTTTTAGATAACCTTAATAATAATAATAATAATACTTTATTTATAAAGCCCTTTAAAACAACCACAGCTGCCACAAAGTGCTGTACATATAAAATCTAGAACATTTAAATACATAAAACAGTTGTTAAAACATTAAGATCAATAAAAAAATAATTAAAACAATGCTGAGCAAAATTCAGTCTGTGCTAAAAGCCAGGGAGTAAAAATGTGTTTTTGAAAGAGTTTTAAAACGGGACAGTGAAGGGGCTCATCTGATGGGAAGAGGGAGATCGTTCCACAGTCTTAGAGCAGCGACAGAAAAAGCTCTGTCCCCTCTGAGCCTCCGTTTAGACCTCGGCACCTCCAGGAGCAGCTGATCAGCTGATCTGAGGCACCGAGCAGGAGAGAATGGGTGAAGCAACTCAGAGAGGTAGGATGGAGCAAGACCATTTAAACTTTTAAAAACAAATAAAATAATCTTAACATGAACTCTAAAATGAACAGGCAGCCAGTGGAGTGAAGCCAGAGTGGGGGTGATGTGCTCCCTCTTTTGAACTCCAGTTAGAAGCCAAGCAGCAGCGTTCTGGACCAACTGGAGGCGTCTGAGGGAGGACTGGCTGACTCCAAGGTAAAGAGTGTTGCAGTAATTCAGCCGAGAGGTGACAAAGGCATGGATTACTGTTTCCAGCTGCTGTTTTGTGAGAATGGACTTTACCTCAGCCAGCTGTCTGAGGTGATAAAAACTGGTCTTGACCACCGCTCCAATCTGGGAATCTAATTTAAAATCACTGTCCATTTTAAAACCCAAGTTAGAAACAGTTTTCTTTACATGTGGTGCCAGAGGGCCCAGATCAACAGGGCAAGGTTCACAAGAGCCACTAGGACCAAACACCATCACTTCTGTTTTCTTTTCATTGAAATTTAAGAAGTTATTGAGGGGGCATCTTTCTTTTTTAGTGGCATATAGATCTGACTATTGTCAGCGTAACAATGAAAAAAGATCCCATGCTTTCTAAGGATTGATCCCAATGGAAGCAGGTAAAGGGAGAAAAGCAGGGGACCTAAAATAGAGCCCTGTACAACCCCAAAACACAGAGGAGCAGTGGAGGATTCAGACTCAGCTATGTTGACAGACATGATTCTGTCTGCTAGATAGGACCTAAACCAGCTCAGTGCAGTACCACAGATACCCACTTGGCGCTGTAAGCTGATATTAAAATGTTATGGTCCACGGTATCAAAGGCAGCGGTTAGGTCGAGCAGGACAAGAACCACATGTTCACCAGAATCATTAGCCATGAAAATATCATTAAAAACTCTGACTAGAGCTGATTCTGTGCTGTGGCGAGTTTTGAAGCCAGACTGAAAAACCTCCAGGATACTGTGCTCATCCAAAAAACATTTGACCTGTGAATATACAATTTTTTCTAAAATTTTTGAAATAAAAGGCAGCTTGGAGATGG